GGACGCCGTGTGAGAGAGGTGAATGATGAATCTGCTCTTGCAAGAGACAAGCCACAAAGCAACAAGGGTGCAGGGTTGTAATCGCTTGTGCTGCTTGAACGTGTGAAGACGAGTTGGCCTTTACTGCCTTCCAAATGGTCATGGTTGGTGACTGTTTAGTGTTCCAGCAGGATCCCAAAGAGTTCGTGTGAGTCTACCCCTGAAACTATCCTGTCACATAGAACATCTATGTCCGGATTGTTTGGAGCGATCGGTAAAGTGGGCTGGCAGCATTCCCTTTTGTTCATGATCGAGACGGGTGAAAACGGCCTGGTCGACGTGCGTACTATGGAGCTTTTGGGGAAAGGTTGTTGGCTGTTTCAGAGGTTCGTAAGTCTCCTGTTCAAACCTGGTCCAACATCACAAACCGAATTGAGCTTCTGGCGTTTGTCAGGAGACGCCGATGGCGGTGTATTTCTGGTACCTTGTGGTGGCTTGACTGAATTGGCGCTGCTGACCTCATGGTATGTTTCATCCGGCCTTTTTCGTAATGGCTTCTTCCCATTCGGAGTTGACTTCAAGGATGGAGCTTGGGTTGAGCTTGCCCTTGGTGGCATTCTGTGTGCCTTTTCAGGATTCCTCAGAATGGTCACCGAGTTGTCAGCTTGCTGGTGTGCTAAGGGGAACCCGCTTTGTGGGTGGGCGAAACCGGCATGGTGGGAAAACTGACCCTGGCGTCATTGTGTGCTGCCTCAAGGGTGTGGAGAAGCGGAAAGGACATCGCCCCGTGAAAAGAGTATTCTATTCAGCCCCCCCCTCACCAGCAACCAGTGGATGCGGGAACATTGAAAAACAACCCCCCATTCAAGTTGGAACACAGCAGCATGGCCAGCACATTGGAGGAGCCCTGCTCAGACGGTTCTTACTGGCAACCAATACCTCTTCCAATGACGAAAGCAGATGAACTCTGCAGGTCAGATCGTTTGCAATTGAGGGCCGCGGCTTGGATCACGTTCAAACAAGGACGGGAGGAAGGGCAAGTGATCCTCAGTGCCATGACCCCTCAAGGATGTTCCGGCAGTTTGTTCTCAAGCTGAACCCACATTGATTTGTTCAACCCCCAAAGGGTGGGCGTCCTTTTGGTTTACTCGCAGGTTCCAGCCGTTGCGCCTGTTCCGGCCCGCGACTTGGCGACTTGGCTCAGTCTGACGCCCACTGCGCGTCCTTGCCTGTCGCTCGCCATGGCGCAACGGCAACCCATGGTGCCGGGGAACCGACCACCTGTACAGCGCATGAACACCGAGAACATGGCGGGGCTTGGAACATGGGCGCCTTCAAACATGTTGGTTTTGCCATGCAAACTATTCAGCTCTGTGATGTTTACTAGGTCGCCATGTGTTTTTTGCTCAACCTGCATGCGGCGGCCGGCCTGAGTTTGGTGTACAGTAGTGTTTATCTTCACTTGGCCAAGGTTTGATCAACTTGCTTGCTGCATCCCTTGATTGTTCGATGGGAAGCAACTGGGGGAAAAGTCCTTGTTGTCAAGGACAATGCAGAATGAAGCCTTCTAACCAGTTGTCATCCGTCCGCCCACAATGTTACAAAATGCTCGACTCGTTCTCAATTTTCCCAAAATACAAAAACGGACCGGAGCTGTCTTAGTGAGGTTTAAATCAGCGAGTTGGTGGTAAAATCCAGCGGTCCAGGTGGACATCAGCAGCGGGGTGGTGTCCTCTGTGCTGTGCGGCAGCATCGTCATGCAGCTGGTGGCTGTGGTCCCGGCCTGCCTCTTGCCATGCAACGGCGCGACCAAACAACCCGCCTTGGCCTGAAGACTTAAACTCTTATCGTGGGGCCAGGCCTTTAAGGGTGGGCGTTTGAGGGCTTGCCTGGCGTTGACAAACACACACGCACACACACACACAGGTGGATGCTGGATTTCCCGTCAATTAGCTTCCCTCTAATTGGCGGGGGGGTGTCCCATTTGCCTTCTACAAGAACCAGCGGTTCAAATCCCCAAACCACCAATCCAAAGCACCAACTACGGGTTACCTGATTTAATATTGATTCAGCGCCTGCTTCCTGAGATGCAGTTGCTTATACTGAAGATCATCCCGAATTTCGGGGGGCAATGGGGAGTGGGGCGTGGTGGCGGTTGGCAACACCCAGCTTGCGATCAAATATGATTCCGCGGGTAAAAGATGTTCCTTCCAATCGCAACGCCGAGCAATTTGTTGGCCGGAGCCAAGGTTATGCTTTATATGTTGCCTACACAAGATGGGACCAGCCGTGCGATCAGCATCTGCAGCTCTGGCTTGCCGTTGAAGGCGGCAAGCAGGTCTTGCTGCTTCTTCCGGCGATCCTGGCCATCCGTGCCTTTGGCCGATGGAAGCGAGGGTGGGATGTCCATAGGTGCAGATGCGTGGATTTAAAGGGCCTCCAAGGAGTGATTTATCCTTGAACAAGGGTTTCACATGTTCCATTTTGCGAAGCTCAAAAGGGTTGGGCAAGATTGTTTCAAGCAAGCAAACCATGGCCGCCTTTGAAGGGGATGTTTAATCAATGGTGGTTTAAACAGGTGGGTGGCCTAATGCTCTTCTCCAGGTGCGTGGCTTCCCCTCGCAAGGTTTCGTTCTTGAAAGCCATGCAAAGCGGGAGCTCCCAATCTTGAAGCCTGCCCCTTTTAAGGGCTGGCTGTTGCAAACAAGAAAGCAAGGCTAACTCACCATAAACAAAACATCTGGCCAGTTTGACACGCCAGGCCAGGAGCGGGCCAAGGGCGACAGAGACTTCCTGTCCTACGTGTATCGGAAGAAGCAGGCGGAGGAGGCCAACCAGCCCTTTGACCCTCAGCCGCGCCTGAAAATCCATTTTGATGTGCGAAACTGTGTGTCGGAGGGGTGCTCAAAAGGGGCAAGGACCAGCGGCTTCCCATTGATCTCTTTTGATGGTTTGGATTGGTGATTTGGGTTGGATTTGAACCCCATTGCCTTTGATGCAACCACGTGATTTGCATGGCCACCATGCACCGGCTCTGACGGGAATTGTCAGGTAATTAGCGAATGGAGAGGTGCTGTCACCCTTGCGAAACTCTCCCCAGACTCCTAGTAGGCAGCTTGGTAGGGCTGTATGAAAGGGGTCGAGGTTACTAGCTCAAGACACCCTTGACCCTATGATCTGGCCCCGCAACTAGATGTCCCTTTCGCGCCAGCATCGACTTTTGTTTGGGACCAGTGTATGTGTGTGTGTGTGTGTGTGTGTTTTATGAGCTTCATTTGGCTGGAGCGATGAGATGTTCACGGTAGCCCTGTCCAACTGGACCTTTTCGCTAAAGCCACCATTTGGGGCCTTTCAGCCTCTCGCAAAACAGCCCTGCTGAGTTGTGCGTTATAAGTTTGCTCCCTCATGTTGGAATTGCCGAATATTTCAATCACTTTGTATTGGCCAACGGATATCCGCTTGGAGGCGGCCTCTTCTCCGGATGATTTTGGAATTTTGGCAAGAGGACGTCCGCGATTTCTGGGGCCCATTTCAGGAAACACCGCATTTCGATGTTGGAAACGTGCGCATGCCAAGCTAGTGGCTCTTTTGTGATGCCAAAAAGACACGAATTCAAGCAGCCTGGATTCTATGTTGGATTTCTCCAAACCTAGCTCTGGGCACGTAGATTCATGGTGAACTCTGGCATGGCTTTGTGGCGCTTTGGATCCTAGAGACTTCAGACTGGTTCTACTTGAGCCATATTGCAAGGGATGTGTCCTTGTTTGGTTGCTGGCTTTTGCGATTCGCGACCTGACCTTTTGCAGATATCAGATTCCCACAGGTTTTTCCCACCAAGCCGACATATCCATGTTTGCTTCACTCAGGAAGTGGACAGCGACATGGAATCGCAGCTGCGGGACAAGTCCCCCTCGTTCGCCAGCACTGCCATCCGCATCGCCCAGTGCCCTTCTGCGCCCGGTTTGCATTGCTGAAAACTGGGAATGACTGGATGGGTGCGGCTTGGGCTCCCCACGTGTTGTAAACATCACCTTTTAGGTTTAGCGCTTTTGGGTTTTTAGGGTGCCAATGAGTTTCCCATTCAACACGCGTTGGTGAGGTCCAAAGATTGTAATTCAGTCCTTGGGAAATGGCCCCCCACCTTTTGAGGGTAGCCATTTTGTGGTTGGTTTAAAGGGAAGCCAAAAGGAACACAACTGTGTGGCACCGCCCTTTCGACGCCTACCCATATGATCCTTCTAGCGCACGGCGACCTTCTCATTTTCTCGCTTCATACTGCCACCTGCAACTTCTGAAAAAGGCATGTGAGACATGTTGAGAAGTTCGTGACGTTGAGTCAGGCTCGCAGGCATTCTAAAGGCTTTGTTCGCAAAAAAGCGGAGACAGTTGTTGGCAACATATCGTTCGTGCAGTTTGGCTTGTTTTCAACTTACCTTTTCATGGCTTACCCGCAGGCTCGGCTAACACTGGGCTTATCCAGGGACGGACTAACGGAACATTTCCGACTGATCAAGATGTGGTTGCTTTGTCCAAGTTTGGACACGTCATGCTCCAGGTTGCACGCAATGAGTAAAAGGCCACGTGAGATGCATGGCTGTGCATGTGTGTGTGTGTGTGCGTGTTTAGTCTAGTCTATGCTTAGACTGCCCTTTGGTTGGATAGGAAAGGGCGTAAGATGTGAGTGAATATGCTGTGTAGTTGTCATGCCGTGTATCTATTCGTGCATCTGACGCCTGTCTTACGTGCGTCCACGTGCCTTGCGCGTGTTTGGCATGTGTGAGCTCCATCATGTGTATGTATTTGCTGTCCGTCTGTTTGACTTTCTGGCAAATGTCAATTTTGCCCAACATGTCTCAAGCACTGTTCTGACGTATAGCTATTGTGTCCAATGTGCTCTGCCATAGTCCTTGCACATGTATAGTACTACAAATACAATAGAATACATATATATATATATATAATATGTATACCTATTGCTATCAGCTTCAAAGTTATGCAATTACATTGGGGGTTAGGCAGTGGGCTGGACCGGCTTGAAAGAGGGGCAGGTGGTTTAGTAGTACGTCTATATATATATATATATCAGCCTTCCCGGATTTTGTGTCTATCCACCTGCCTGCGTCCGAAACGCTAAGTTGATCTGGGACATCGTTGGCCTGGTTTGGTACTGCCAGAGCAGCGACAAAACCTGTGACCAGACTCTGCGGCACACCACGCTAGGCCTGGAGCCTACAAGACGAAATGCCATGCAGGTGAGGCCAGAAACCCCCTGGGACAGAGGGTAGAAACCGTCCCAAACCTGAATAGAAGCGGCTTTCTGCCCTCGTAGCTCCTTGGGGTGGTTTTGAGTAGACCTGCGGATTTCATGGGACTGCTCTTGGTTCAAAGGCTTCACGCCTAGGCCCCTGCCGCGAATCAGAAGCATTTGTGCGTTTCTGCTGGCGTGTCGCTGTTTGTTTGTGTGTGTTTGTGCGTTTATTTGTCTGGAACCAGTGAAGTCTTGAGGGGTTTGGCAATTGCCTTTGCCTCTTGAACCCCATGCCCTCCTTCCACTGATTTGAGACTGGGGAGTGCCAATCACGAACAAGAATCTCGGCTTGCCCGCGGACGAGACTTGCTTACAAACAGGTTTGTCTCGATGCCTTGGTTTCCCTCTAAGCCACCAGAAAAAGGGTACGCACCCTCAAAAAACACCCAAAGAATGAAGCTCTGTTTGGTGTTCTCTTTTTAGGTTGGCGAGTTGAGCAAGTTTGCGCAGATGAAGCGTTTGGCTAATTACTACATTTCAACTTGACCCAGCGATTTCAGGTAGTTTGTGCTTTTAGCTTTGGTGTAAGCTTTCCTTTGCCAGCCTGCCATTTCATTCAGCATCATGCGCCAGGAACACTAGCAGATGTTATTCTTGCTGGTACCTTCCGCAAGAAGAGACGTACGTGCAGATCCTCACGCATCTCAACATGTAGCTCAACGTTCAAGCTGTTTCCAAAAGACGGTTTTGGCTTTAGACACGCGTGCAGTTCCGACCAGCCCCGCCCTTGGCCGCTGTCCTGATGGGAGTATCGGTTGAAACCACTTGGGCGCCCACTCAAATTCTTGATGCAGACTACTTGGGCGCACTTGGCATAATTTTGGCTAGAAAGCTGGCGTTACACTTGGGCCCTTGTGCTTGCTGGAGTCGCATGATTCCAGGTCTTTTGGCGTGGTCAAGACTGGGTTGCCAGAGATGCGCACAGCGGCCAAACTGGGGCCTTTTCCACTGTGTTCTTTAAAAGAAAAGGACAGCAGCTGCCAAATACATAAGAAGGATGCCAAAATGGGCATGCCATGCGCCAGGGATGCTGCTTTTCATCTCGCTCTTCCCGTGCCTGGCCTGCTGCTGCGTGCTGTGCTTCGGCATGGGCGGGCTCATTGGCAACATGCCCATGGATTCCGGGTCCAGCTCTGACTCCGAGTGAAGGCCGGGGGTTTCGGATCGGGCGATCACCCCCCAACTGGTGTTTGCTTTTTGCTTGAAACCTTGCCCCCTCGGAAAGGCCGATGTTTGAAGCGAGACGCCGCTTTGGCGGGTTGATGTCAAATCTGGGGAACGAACCCTGTTGCTGTTGCTGAAGCGGAGAACAGTTGAATGCTCCGATGGTGCTCAGCTCAAAGGAAACCAAAAGGAAGCCAACCGTTTTTGGGCGCCCGATGTTTGGAAACACCAGAATATAAGGGGGCCCAGTGTCAGCTGGATGTTGACTTGATGTGTTTTCTGTCTTTTGTTTTCACCCTGTTGCCTAGCTGCCACATGGTTTGTTTGCATGCGTTATGCGGAGCGAGTAGCTGAGAACGAGACCAGATCCCTGAGGCATTCTTTCATTTGTGTCTGTGTGAGTTGAGTCATTTTTGGAATGATTGGCGTGTCGCAGATTTTTCTGGGTAGTGGTCGCCTAGTTGGGGACGTCCTGGCAACTGTTTGAGATGGTCGAAAAGCGAGCATTGGAGCACTCCCGGTTGCACAGTCGGTTATTTATCAAATCACTATGGCAAAGAGTGAACCACCACTGCAAAATTGGGGGAACAGCCTCAAGCCTGTCACCACTAAAGAGAGACTGTGGCAAAGCGACCTTGAAAAGGCCTTCTGAAGGCTTTAGCAATGAATGCCCTCCAGGAAACCTGCCCGGCATTCCCTCTTCAGGATGATTGTTCGCCGTATGCAAAGACCGGTTTTAGAACTTAAAAGATACCGACCGGCAAGGGACCATCCCCCAAAGACTTTGATAGGTTTGTTGTTGTTTTGTTTACCGCCCGAGCAGATGAATCAAGGAAGCCAATCAGGTGCTCCTGGGATCGTTCCCCAAGTATATAGCTCTTGTATACCCCAACTTTGTTAACCCCGAAGTTGTTGAGGCACATCTCCAGAAAAGGGCGGTGTGGATATTCGTTTGGGTAGAAGAAAATATGGTGCTTGAAGCGCAACTCATCATGAGCTCGCGATGATAGAGGTAATAAAATTCAACTATTTCTTGCTTGTTCAGCTCGCGAATCGCAGTTTGTGCAGTTTGGTCGCGAATGCCACCGATCGATCCTCCAGGCTGATTGGCCTGTGCAAGCTCTTTCAGATCTGCACTGCGCTTGTGATCCAAGGGCCAGACTGAGATGGTCAGCATCTTCCATTTGCGCGTGACCAGTTCATGTTCAATCGATTTATGCCTGACTTTATGGGGACTCTAAAGATTCAACACGTTTGCAGTGGAAGTGATTGTATTAATTCGGAAATGGCCAAAGCGTGCGTGCACGCAAGTGCGCAGAGTTGGTGCGACCTTGCGCCGATTCCGATGCAAGTAATGCTATGTGGTTGTTTCCCTACATAGTCGCCGAAATTGCAGTGTGAAGGGATTCAATCCTTGGCCTCTCGCGGACAGAAAAAGGAGTTCGCGTAGTCAATGTGGGGCTGTGGGGTGACGTTTGGTGATTGAATCCTGCCTGCGCGTGGAATAGTAGCGGCAAACCGTTTCAACCTGCTGTTTAGTGTTCTGTCCAGCCTGCTGGCCCCATGTACCTTGCAGGTGCAATCGCACATATCAGTAATATCAAGTACTACTGATTACTTGGCGCATTATTCAGGCGCTTGCGCTTCCCGATGGGTCGCCCAATCAAGCGGATTATCTTGATTTAGGGCTCATTGAGTCGTTTTAGGGGTGATTCCCGTTCTCTTCCATTGCAAAGCCAATTCAAGTTGCTAGGGTGTTGAATTTGGTTGAAAAGACTCCGATCTCTCGAAAGACCCGCCCTAGTAGTCAACGGATACTGAAAGAAAGGCTCACCATTCAACAACGGATAGCGCCCTCTGGAATAGCCCATTATTATTTTCAAGATGTTTTCTTTCTGGCAAAATCTGGCATTCAAAGAAGCAACCCCGAACTCGTCAAGGTAACCGCTGTGCTCCTGGCAGCGGTCTTCGTGTACCTGGTGAGCTCCAATCACAAATGCGGCTCGGACTCTTGCGTGCGGTAGCTTTCGAGGTTGGGAATTGGCAAGGGTCGTCAAGCCCTCAGTCAGGACATGCACGACTTTTGCCTTTGATCCATGCCATTGGACAGAGTGTCGTTGGTCTACTTCGGGAGCTGGGCGTGCTCAGACGATTGGCCCACACACAGAGACTTGTTGGTTGAACCAAGGGAGGCAGTCAGGACATGGTCTACGTGGGCGTTGATTGATTCCGCTACACGAAGCATATTGCGTTCCGTTTCAACTTGGCAACAACCCGGAGGCATTTGTTGCCGATTTTGACAAACAATGCAGCGGACCCTGCACGATAGAGACCCTTGATCCGTGCAACAGACCGCGGAGACCAGGAGATCGAGGGAGCAAGCGCGGCATGTAAACATTCGGATCCTCTCCAAGCAGCTCACTAACTTCCGTTTTACCTTCAATCCGCTGTTGTATAGCATGAGCATCTCTCAATGCAATTCCTTGCGTTGTAATGCACATGCGGGAGATTGCAATGTAAAGGGGGGTATCAAGAAAGTACTTGTTTGTGTTCTTGGTGAGCAAGGCGCGCAGCGCCATTCAGCGTCGGCTTAGTGCGGATCGATAGGCAATATCTCTGGCTGGGAGTGGTTGGGGTTTGCCTCGAGGGAGCTTTGACTAGTTTAGGGCTGATTTTGGATTGGTTCAGGTTTGCGGGGGCCATATGCTAGCAGGAGCTTGTTGAGCTTCTTTCTAGGCTTCATTTGTTAAGGGGGCTGGAGGGATCCAATAAGAATTCGGAGGGATTTCCAGTTTTGGTGGTTACTCCAAGCTGGTGGAGCTGGATCAAGCACGACGGTTTGGCTGGGTCTGGAAGCCCGTCGGCTTGTCCGAAAACAAGGGCACCCCTTCTCGTGTTCTCCTTTTTGCTTCCCGTCAGCAGCCAATTGTCTCAACTCTGGAACATGGAGAGGTCAATGGCTGGATGGCTTCTCTTTTGCGGTTGCACTGGAGACTCCAATCCCAGTCGGTGGTTTCGCAAGGCAGTTTGCGGGGTGTTCGGTGCGCTTTCAGTTGGCTTATGTTTGTCTCAACACATGAGGATTCAAGCCCTCACGCCGCCAATCAAACCCAGTTAGGCCAAGTATGATAGCGAATCCCGGATTCATAACCCTCGCACACCGCAGTGTGCTCCCTCCTTTTCATGGTCGGATCAGGATGGGGGGGGGGTTAAATGTGCTAAATGTGGGGTTCCCGGTTCAGACACTTGAGCGCCAAAACGTTGGCCAAGTTTATAATTAGGGTGTCCATGACTCAAAGATTGCAGGGCCAAATAGGCGACCTGGAAGAGTTGTGTCAAATCTAAGCGACCTGGCAGAGTTCCTAATCAAATATTCACCGTGTCTCATACTGCATTCCGTTTGACCTCGTTCCGGGCATTTTGCCCGCTTGCCTTCCTCGGCTGGATAACTTGTCCCAATATTTTCCCCATCACGGCCCGCAGCCACACTTTTCTGTTTGGTCAATCTGTGTTTATCCCAAAGTTTGGGAGTGGGTCCCTGCAAGAGGGATGTGGAAGCGTGAGGTTGGTGTTGACAGTAAACCTTTACCACCGTATGAAACGAAACATTTGTGAGGCGGGGTCTCCAGGTTTGACCCACATTGCACAATACTTGGGGGCCCAGCTCACCTTTGGCCCAGGCTACTTCGTCAAGGAGGCGACAGCGCTCGATGCTGATCGTTGGGTTCCTGCGCGTGGAACTGTGTCGCTTGTTCTTCCCGGTGTTCCTACTCAACATCCGGTTGCGGCAGTGTTTCACGACATCCCACCCTTATCTTGAACGCCGGTCCCGAACAATTTGCAAGGGCGTGCGCTTTCCTTAGCAAGGCGCGAAACTGGCTACCCACAAGTTGCTGAGCTACCTCAGTGCACGGCCTACTGCAAATCTTTGGAAGTGTTTCTTGGTTCTGTGGCAGGCATGAGCCAAAGAATTATATCGTTTGTGTTTAGCTAAGCTGCAAGCCGTCGAGATCTTGCGCTATGGACTTGCATTGAGTCCTCATTATACGCGATGTTTATGCGGGAGAGATGATTGAGGTGACTGTCCTTGTGGCCAGACCAATACGTGTATGAGTGTATTGTGTTTTTAATATTATAGATGTCTGTGTGTGTGTGTGTCTTGGAGTCGTCAGAAGTGCGCGCGCACTCACAGCGGCAAAAGATTCAAAGAGGCTGATGCGTTCCGAGAAATCTAGTGGCACGCACGTGCGCCTCTATCAAGGCGTGGGAAACCCACGGTGTGTGCGCCTAAAAAAACAACAGGGCGTGAGACCATAGCAAAAATGTAGAACTGAGCCTGTGCAGCTCTGTTCCCCACTTGGTGCATCGTAAAAAGGGCTGACAATGAACAGTTCAGGCTTTGTCTTTTGTCTGTTTGGCTGAACCGCTCTCAACGTGAGCTGGGCTAGGTCGTGCTGAGGAACATGTCCACTCACCAAATAGACAACGGATGATTGACAAGACCGAGGCTGGTCAGGGACAAACGCACCTTCCCGATTTTGGTGCACACAGGTGACTTCGCGTAGGGCCGGATGGACCTCAACCGTTGCTTCTTGGAAATCGCTTCACAGGGGCGCAATCTGAGCGTTCCCTCTCGGATTTCAAAGAATCTAAAAGACCCACATCCGAGCAAAGCCATCGGCTTGTCATGTTTCTCGGGCATGACCCATGGTCCAGCGCGACAAGCCTGGAAGTCCTTCAAATGAGAGTGGGGCATTCCATGGCAATGCAAACCTTGAAGACAGCTGCCCCTTGTGTGAATTTTGCTGTGCAGGATCTGCAGACTCAGCGAATCGGCTTCTCCTTCCTTTGCAGCGTGATCGGCACGGCTCAGACCTCGAGACGGCTTTGGGAGGATGTTGTTTCAACTGTGTTCAAATGTACCGACAGTGATTTTGGCGAGCGCTTTGGAACTTGGGTCATAGTAATGCAGAGCCCAAACAGTTGGACCCTGATGATGGTTTTCGCTTGTGTGATTGCGAGTGCGGGTGTTTTTGAATGTTCTTTCCACTGCTGTGACATGTGTGCGCCCTTGTAGGTGAGCCGATGTTTTACAATTGACAATTGAGGCTCAGCAGATAAGCCACTTCTGGCGCACGTAGTTCTGGCCCGCTGATCTGGCCAGCTTAGAGCAAAAGAATTGGCGCACTCTGCTGGCCACAGTGCTTGAAGGTCCCTTTGTAGCAGGTGAAGCAACATGTCCTGCAGCACTTGGCCGGGCCGGGTGGGTCGGGTTCGGCACAAAATGCCAATTGACCTGTGTAGCTTTATTTTTGGGTGTCGCATTTGGTTGGTTTGACGGCAAGGGTCAGCATAAGACCCTGACCAAAGCGGTCCATCATCTAGCTAATACGTCAATACTGCCCAAACATTGTATTTTCCGGTAGGGCCAATGAAGCCGCCTGCTCCATGTCTGGGTGAGCTTGCGGCCCGTTTCTTCGATTCTCGAGCTGCACCTTTGCACCCAGATGCAGGTTCAAAGGGAACTGACAAATCGACCTGCTCCAGAGACTTGATTCACGGCTTCTGGCCCCAGAACAACTATTTCTCTTTCCACATCCACAAGGGTGTCACGTTCCGCCAATTTCACAAGCTCCATATCGATGTCAGTCAAGTGTTGTAGATCAAATCCCTCGCAGTGAGGCCATCGCACTGTGTGGCCTGGCTGCAGTGGCGGCAGTGTGTTTTGCGCTCTACACCATCTCCCAAGTGCAGGCCGGACGTTCTTTTTGCACACGCTCCAGAAGGTCCTGGTATCGAGATAAGAGGAGATGAGTTTGGTCTTGTGTCTTCTTTGTGATTTGTTGATTTCGATCAAGGAATTAATCCAGGTTTGCTGGCTCCCATGTAGTCTTGATGCTTGTGAGTCGCAATAGTGCCTGTAAGCCGCTTGGTGCATGAGTCGCCAAAGTTTCGGAAAAGCGCGTTTGAAATTAACACGAAACCACGCGGAGTCTCCGCGGACTCCGCGTGCCAAGAGCAGGCAGCATACTACCAACCGCATCTCAATCTGGAGAGCATGCGGAGCCCTGCTGGCCAGGTGCAGATCAAAGAGACAGTCAACGAATCTGTCAGCGAGTCTTCCCGGCTGCTCTTGAGGCGGGGGGGCAGGCGACATACGCTAATTTCTGTTGAAGGACACCAGGCAAGCGCTGGAAAGGACCATAAAAGTTATCTCAAATGGGCGCGTCCCTTTGCGCGGTCACCTCCAGCAAGGTCGCGGGAGTTTGGAGAGGGCGTCAAATACCTAGAGTTTCCAATAGACGTTAGGAATCAGGCATTGTGCTAATGTGCTGATATGTTTACCTCATGCTGAAAGGGTACTGGAGACTGCATGTCCAGCTTTCAGTATTCAGATCGACCTGCACTGCCCCCGGAACAAAGGCGCTGCTTTTGAGTAGCATTCTCAGAGTGGCGCGGAATGGACACTTTGCAAGATACCTTTCCTGCAGTGCAGATTCACGCTGCCAAATGCCGTTCAGCGAGTGTTTTTCTTGCTTTAGGTGTCCTGCTTCTGCCCCTGGCTGGGCGTGGATTGGTTTGGGTAGCCCGGGATTTGTCTGGAAGGACCTGCTGACAAAACATGTGGCGTTGGTCATGAGGAAAACAAACCAGATTTGGTGATTTCTTGGCGGGTGCTACAAGGGATTGCGAATTGCCGAAGCTAGCTAAACTCTCCAGAACCATGGAGCAGTATTGTCGATGCCCAGTCAGCGCGTTGTCCACGGGTCCCTTGACAAGCATCAAACACGTTCTTTGTGTAACAAATGAGAGACCCCCGTCGGGTTTGGTTATAAGGCAACCCAGGTTAAACTGGGCTACCGAGTTGCAGGAAGCACCCTTCCTTCGCCTCGTCTAACGACCGGCAGTCACTTATCTGCGCTTCCAAAGTTGCTACTGACGGGTGAATCCTACTGAAACCGCCACTTTTCGTTCCGAGTCTTGGCGCGCAGGGAGAAGATGAGCCTCAGGGCATAAAGGTGGCGCGGGCCGGTGTCGGGGCGCCCGAGACCGCGATTCGGCTGCCCACCCGAAGCGCTTCTTAGCGGACAAGTAGAGCGGATGGATATTCGACGCCCTTTGCATCCAAGGAGGCAATACATGCAATACTGTATACCCCTCTGTGATTCACAAGCTCCATAATTGCAAATTCCGTGCCTGAAAAGAGCCGTGTTTTTGATTCTGAAGCCGTTTGAGGTCACTGTGATCGTGCCAGGAGTTTCGACCATAGTACATGCAAACTGTTGTCAGCTGGACAGCTCAACACGGGCTGTCAAGTGAAACGGAGGGAGGGGGGTCAGGTGGTAGTAGTTCAATGCAAGAGCGTGTGACAGTTGCATGCGCGCGGGCATGTGCTTGCATCGGGGACCCCTTCTTGGTATTCGACTACAGCGACCTTTGTCTTGAAGGCGGATTTCAGAGAAGTCACCATTGGAAGCCATCCCCAGTTTGACTCATAGCCATTTCCCAATGTCCCCACAAGAGCCCTTCAAGAGTTCACGAATCCAAGTTCCAATTCCCAAGTTCTTGTTGGTGCCGCGCCCAGGCTCGCAGAGGAATGAGCCGCTCGCGAGATTTTTCTCGCGCCGGACTGGCAGGTTGGTTCCAAGATATTGCAATCTACTGGAGAGTATGGCGTCACACAAGGGACAACTGCTGGGATATAGGTGCCCAACTGGATTCTTTGGGATTCTTTATGTGTGTGTGTGTGTTTGTTGTTTTTGTACATGGCTGGCGGTGAGAAAAGGGCCCAGGGCCAGGGCTTTGACAGATTTGAGGATGCAGACTTTCGCTTGAGGTTTGTTTCTTGCCAGGTTTGGGTGGTGAGCATACCCATGAAACATCTCACGGAGCACTAGCGGTTTGGTTTTATGTCTGCCGACGATGGTTCTTGGAACCCCCTGGACGGCTCCGGGTCAACAATTGCAAGGTCATTCTTTCAAGCTCGAGAACTCACGTGCCAAGTTGCTCTCAGCCTCCATCCCCTTCCATGGCTTGCTTGGCAGTTTCCGGAAAAACGTGGCCGTTTCGGCTGGCTGGCCACTGATGGTACTCCGAGGTTCCGGCCGGGCCCCCACAGAGACCTACGGAAAGGGATCCCGCGCAAGGGGCATAGCCAACGAGTGGGGGTCGGGATCGAGAAAAGGCTTAGAAACCCCAAGCACTCCAAGGTGTTTTCTGGGCATGACCCTGATCAGGTGGGCAGTTTTGGAGTGAAATGTTGAGAGTGTGTGCGTGTACGTATAATGTGTGTTTTGATGTGCAGATGTTGCAGTACCTACAGAAACCACTTGTAAGCATGCTGGACACACTTATGTGGCTCCAAGAACACAGTCAGTCTGGCTTGTTGGAACCCCGCGGGTCGTAGTGCCAGTGACAAACTGATGCCTTTGCCTAGGTCAACGAAGAGCCGGCAGGCCCGTGCGACAGCCTTGAGAACAAGTTGCGCACATCCAAGGGTTTTCGCCCTTTTGTTCTCCTAGAGGACTGGGGATCATCCGAATTCGTGGGAGTTTGCACAATTTCAGGTGGTGAAACCTGTTTGCTCCAGATGGGTTCCCTGAAGGATCCATTCAAAACCAGGCCCTTTTTTCCATAGAGGGCAAGCCTGAAGCCTCGCTGCCAGGCCACATCCCCGCAATGCGGCTGAGGCCAGGTAAGCGGCGATGTCCAAATTTTTTGGGGCATGAGCCTTGTCTCGCCCGCCAGGTGTGCCTTGCTGCTGTTGGTGGCAGCCGGGTGCCCGGGCGAATGCGGTGACGGCCACTTCACTCAACCAATGCACATCGATTCCAGGAGCTTAATTTGCAGTGCACAAAGATTTCAGCGTGCCCTGTGAGCATGTCGGCTCCGAAGACACTTTCGGAGCAGTTTGGGAATTCTGGTGACGTCCCTGCGAGCCCTGCAACCTTTTGTCAATGAAACCAAGCGAAGGACACTATTTGAAGGCCCGACAGGGTACCAAATTATCAAATGAGCCTCAACCCCCCAGGCTATGGACCCCCTCAAAGGCAAAGCGAAGTCAACATGTTCAACAGTAACACTCAGTATTGATATTTGCGAAAACGGGTTGCCTTGGGGCTTTGGGCTCTTGCGAACAGCCGAGGCAACGGGCAGCAAGCTGAAGGCCCGATGCCTGCATCTCGAAATCCGGCGCCAAGAATTTGGCGCAAAAGGAGACGCAGGACACACGAAAGGCTGACTGCCTTATGCCTTGAGATGGGTCACTGCCACAAAGTTCTGGGGTGTTTTCCCAACAGAACTCCAAGAGTCGGAACTCCCGCCTCGCCTGCCATAAGACCCAACCACTGGCTCCGCGGTCAACCAGCTTTGGCAGCAAAGTTCAGGCACTGCCAGCCATTCTATGATTGTGCTTCTCAGAGGGATGACAAAGAAGGAGCTGGCAAGCAGGATTCATGAAGTTTACTTAGTTGACCCAAAGGATGGCCATGAACTCTGATGCAACTGTTGAGTTCTATTGAGAGATTGTTACGCAACAAGACTCTAGTGAAAAGTCCGAAGCTTGCCACATCGCACAGCCAGCTGCCAGTTACCATATGCGGCGGATCGGGTTTGATCTTCAAGCTGCGGATCCCCAACTCTCTTGGGTCTTTTTTGACATGAAGTCCTTTCAACCAAACATGAAGTTGTACAAGTTGCTGCCGTTCATTTATGCAACCCTGAGCTCCCCCCGTTTGGGCCGATCAAAAGGGGAAGCCAGCCTTCGGGGCGCGGAGTCCCCTCTTACCGACTTGGCCATGAGATAGGTGTCGCGGGCCAAAGGCATCTTCCCAAGCTATGATGCGGTGGCCTGAGGTGCTTTGTGCGACTGGCAATTGTCTCTGCAATCCATGCCACTGTTCAAAGAACTTCCGGAAACCAAGCCGCTTTGAGTTTAGGTTTTCTCGGGCCCATATTTGGCTTCGGATCCCAAGAAAGTATTAGGCAAGTTGGAGGTATCGCCTGCCTGCTTTGGAGCTGAAACTGTGGACACAAGAACACAACGGTCCGTGCCCAAAATGTGTTTGCTTGCTTTTCCTCGAGGGCTTTGTTGAGCGCTGGGAACTATCGCTTTCCAGTCCACCTTCTGAGCTCTTGTGTGTTGCTGTTTCTGTGCGTGTGCGTAGAGATCGATATTGGCAGCTCTTACGGACGAGAAGTGGCGCGTACTTGGAATGCTGACGAAACCTTCCAACCCTATGGGTCCAGGGGAACCAATAAAAATCGGCTTTCGTAGGGTGCCATGTTTGGGATCGCACATCGCCTAGATGATTTGTTTGCCTGACGAACTCACGAGCGAGCTCTGGGTAAAGCAAGCCCATCAACGAGAAGAGGACTTCGATTTGTACAACTAATAAGAATCCCTGTACTTCAATGACAAGTGGAAAATAGCATCGGCAGTGCATGGGCAGGGTTGTTGTTCTCAAGCTCCTTGATTTAAGGCATGGTGAAAGGATGATCAGACACAGTCCTTGCCGAGCAGCATGCTTGCTATCAAATAAACCACCAGCCCAATCCAAGCCGCCAACCTACACCGCACACCTCAGCCAATGAGTTTTGTTCCGATTGGACATGCCCCTGATTCCCACAGCTAGGGCGTGATCAGCTCGCCGAAGTGCGGCTGCCACTGCTGCGTGGTCGAGCGGCGGAGGCGTGAGTTGGCGGGTTGCGGTCGTGGAAGGGCCCGAAAAAACGCGCGAGTCAACGTTCAAATCGAATCGACCTTTCATGTTTCCCAGGTTTCGCCCACGCTTTACTAGAATGCTGGTATCCCACCTGGCTTCCCATTATACGGCAACTGAACAGAGTGCAACAGCTATATTGGGCCGCAGATTTGCACCTTTTCAACAGGTTGTAAGCGCCTGACTTCAGTTTGGGATGACGGTGTTTGTTCTTGTTGAAGTTTGACAAATGGTGACGCTTATTCTATGTTTAGAGACGGCGCAAAATGACACCGGGCTGACCACATTAAATCAGTCGACGGCAACTTCCCAATTGCAACGGGCCGCGAGGCTCACGGGACGAAAGGACAAGAGCCCCGAGAAACGACTCAAAGGCTTCGCTGTTCGCCTTCCGCTTGCCAAAACAGGCCCGATGAAGCCGGGGGCCAGCAGCTGGCGAAGCGGGAAGCTGAGGGCCGAGGGGAGGCACAAAACGCCCAGCGACCAAAGACAAAAACGAGAGATTTGAGTTATTTCACCTGTGGCTACTTGTAGGTGTTACGCATTATCTTTAGAGGTGCCATGAGGCATGACCCCCAACAGCAACCAAGTCCATATAGAGACCCATTTCCTCGCTGGCCCGCTTGTCTCCCTCCAAGGACTGGAAGCAATTCTAATTGCACCACACATGTTTTTTGTTAGGGTGAATTTGTCCCGGAAACCTTGTGGAAAACGCCCCTGGAAGGTGACTATGTGGCGGTTCCCTTTGGGAAAGCACACGCAACCTCGCAGTCCCGCAAAGATGAAGCCTCCTTTTCCCAGATAATAGGCCACCCCACGTAAGCAAATGTGGAAGTCATGCAGTGGGGCGTCGCCGGAGATTCAGAAAAGACCGTGCACTTTGCAGCCCCATACACACCTTTTTCACCAGCCTTGCAGTGTGCTAAGTTCTTCACCTCGTGGGAATGTGGCTTGGGACCCTGCAGGGTCTTTTTGCATGTTCCTGGACCCCAATTGACCCTATTTTTTGTCTGCTTATGACCCGCAAATGTATGATTGAGGGGTGAGTTGGTTTCAGGTCCCAATTCAAGCACATGAGCCACCTTGCGTGTGCTTGCAACTTTTGGCCCCACCAGTTCCGCATATTTCTGGTGAAGAGCAAAGGTCGGTATTTGTGTCGCTTGGGTTTTACGTAAGGCGCGCCTTCGTTGCCACTTGCGAGCTTGCAGGCCAAGGCTTGGCCACCATGTGTCCACAGAGAAAGGCGTTGCAAAGAGCACCACCTCTTTGACAGTGAAAATGATTCTGCGCTCGTGATTCCAATGATAGCATTTCAGGTGCGCTGCCCCTCCCGTCAGCCGGTGCAGCAGCTCCTGCGCGGCGCGGTGTCAGGGGGCATTGAGCGCAACGATCATTGCCGTTTTCCCCTTCCAGGACCAGGAACCTAAAGGACAAGAAACATTTGCTTGTGCGCCTCAGACAACGCTAACAGTGCGTGTGGACAAGAGTCGGAAGGGACACATCGTCATTGGTGAACTAGTGAAACTAGACCTTTCTTGAAATGAGTAGCTTGACACGTAGATGGCTTTCCAACATGGTTAGCGTGACAGATAGCTAGCTTTGACATATAGCTAGCTTGACAGATAGATGCACGGATGTACGCGAAAAAGAAATGAGAAATGCTGAAATCAGGAGAGCTGCTGGCGGGCAGCAAGATGCAGAAAACGTGGCTCTGTGCGCGAATTGGATTTTCGGACCCTCGGTTGCGACGCCCGTACGGAGGCGGTCTCGGCACGGTCTTGGAACAGTCCCGGAGACGGGACCATTGGCACGGCCGCGCGAAGGTCGCAGTGTTTGAATTGCGTGGCAGGCGCAGCACTTTCGCTTGAAATACTAAGCTCAGGTGACATTTTCAACAGCATGCGCTGCTCTTTTTAGTGCTCGCAGCACCCCGCAGCCCTCGCAGAACCTTGTGGAACCCTCGTGGAACGAACCCTCGTGGAACCTTACCCCAGGGCCGCCCCGGACCACCTCGAGCCTGAGACCCCAAAGCCTTCAGCTGTTGTGGAAGAATAAGTTAGATAGATAGATGGATATAGATAGATAGGCGGGTAGATAGATAGCTAGATAGACCGGGAGAGAGAGAGAGAGAGAGAGAAAAACACAATAGATAGGTTGAAAGATAAATAGAAAGATTCGAAAAGATAGATAGATAGATAGGTAGATAGATAGATACATAGTGAGCTAGATAGACAGACAGATAGATAGCGAGATAGATAGATCGAGAGATAGACAGATGGCGAGATAGATAGATCGAGAGAAACAGATAGATACCTACATAGAGAGATCAAGAGAGATAGATAGATAGGTAGGTGGATAAACAGATAGAGAGAGATAGAGAGATAGGTGGATAGATAGGTAACTAGATAGATAGGTAGGAGAGATTGGTGTGTAAGTAGAAAGAACAACGAAAGAAAGAAATAAAGAAAGAAGTAAATAACAAGAAAAAGAAAGACAGGCAGGCAAGCAAGCAACAAAGAAAGGACAGAAACAAAAAAAGAAAGAAAGGAAAATTAATCAAGAAAGAAAGCAAGAAATAAAATAAAACAACAAAGACAGCAAGGAAGAAAGGAAGAAAGAAGGAAAAATGAAAGTTAATGAAGAAAGAAAAAGAGGGAAGAAAGAAAGAGAGAAGGAAGGAAGGCAGGAAGAAGGGAAGGAGGGAAGGAGGGAAGAAGGGAGGGAGGGAAGGAGGGAAGGAGGAAAGGAGGAAAGGAAGAAAGGAAGGAAGGAAGGAAGGAAAGCAAGAAGAAGAGAAGCGGAGTCAAGAAAGGAAAGAGACCGATAACTATAGCTCGTATATTTTGAAACGTCCCCCCCCAGCTCTGCCGGACCCGACTGCTAATCATAATCATCCTCATCGTCACCATCACCATCATCATGACAGCAGCATCATCAGCAGATCTTAATCAAGAATCATCATAGCCATCATCATCATCATCATCATCATCATCATCAGCAGCAGCAGCATCAGCGTCAGCATCATCACCCTCGTCATCATCATCGTCGTCGTCATCAGCGGCGGCAGCATCGCCCTCATTTTCATCATCATCATAATCGCCATTAACCATCATCAAAACCATAATCATCCTCATCGTCACCATCACAATCATCATCAGAAGCGGCAGCATCAGCATCACCGTCATCACAATCATAACCACCATGAAAAGCAACATAACCACACATCATCAAATGAAAATCACAATCATCCTTGTTGTCACCATCACCAGTAGCAGCAGCATCAGCATCATCATCGGCATCATCGTCGTCACGGTCGTCGTCATCGTTATCGTCACCATCATCATCATCATCACCACCTTCGCCGTCATCCTTATCGGCAGCGGCGAGTCAGCATCATTGGCATAGGTGTACGCGGGTCAAGCTGCTCATGTGTTGCACGGCTGGAAAATGCACCCACATTCTTGAAACCTCAGCCCGTCCTCGTCCAGGACCTGTTTAAGAAGCAAGCCATCCAATGAATATTGTTAGTTAGCCAGGCTGTGGATGATGAAGTCTTCACCCACGTGACGATTGTGGACATGGACCGCTACTGCCAGCTCCTCAAAGTCTGGCGCATGGTTTAACTCCGTTGCATTGTCGGCTAAATTGTGTAGAAATTTCAAGGGGCTTCATGTAGCCAACAGGATGAGTCTGCTCGACCACGCATCCCGCTCGCATGCTGTAAGGCTTCCATCGATGTCGTCCTGAGGGCTCATTGCAGCCGTCGGCCCAGAGCTTAGCGGATGAGTTTTCCGCTTACCTGACTTCCGAGCCAGATGCGACAGTGATCACGCGCGCTGACCGTTGGTTTTCCAGCAACAGAGGCCCCCTAGTACTGAGCAGTGATGCTTGAACTTGTTTGGGAACATGAGATGTCGAAACAACGTTTAGAGCAGCGCTGAACCGGTGGCCACCTTTAAAGGGTGTGCCCATGGGCCCACTTGACAGCACCTGCATCGAGGAGAAGGTTGAGCTCTTGGAGCAGTCTGGCGGCGCCTCCTTCCATGGCGGCTTCAGCATCTCCACTCCGCGCCTTGGCTGACGGCTTGTGTTCGAGGTGTCCAGCTTCGGCGAAGGAAGCACCAAAATTCTCCAGGTCTCCATTCAGAAGCTAAACTGGGTCTGGAAAGGTTCGATGTATGCAACAGGGTTCCTTTTTCCCCTTACCCATGGAAAGCACCAGGCGAGCCATTTGTTCCCATTCTCTGAAAGTGGGGCTTAGTTGACTTAGGTGCGTGCCAGTTCCGAAGGGCTTGGAGGTAGCGCCCTCAGATCTTGTGATCTTGTCAGGTCAGCTGTCGGCCTTTCAGATTGACTTCAATCCAGGCCGTTTCTTTGCCACTCAAGAGCCAACTCAGAGCTAAACACGAGCAACTGGAGGTGCTGCAATTGGACGGTAGGGGTCGGAAAAAGATGAAGTGGAATGATGCTTGAATTGGTTGCACTTTGCAAGGGGCGTCCAAGTACGCGAGTTCCTTTTGAGTGTTTTACTGAGTTCCCAGGCATTTGCTACGGACGCCACCGGCAGTGGCCGTGACCACATGCTGCCGGCGCGAGCCTTGCAAGCGTCGCAGCAAATGTCGTCAGCTTGCGAGGAGCAAGCCGTCAGGCTCATAGATGTTCATTCTTCGCGGGGCGCTGGCCTGTCTGAATTCCGGGAGCCACAAGGTAGCGGATTCTGGTTTGTTCCCCGGCCCGTGAGTGCAAGATTTCTTGCAAGGCTGTCATGGCCAAGCTGTCGGCAATTGCAGTAGACTTGGCTCTTTTCACTTGGCGCGACTTTCATGCGCAGTCATGTGGGGGAGGACATCAAGGAACTGCCTAATCTCACGAGGACTGACTTTCCCGCAGGGGAAGAAACACAAAAATATATTTGAAAACATATTGGTTTATTTTTTTGTCAATTGCCCATTTGGGAAGCCTTCCTTCAGTCCAGGCAATCCCGAAGTGAGCAAGACCTGCGTGTCGGGCAAGGCATCCGTGCCAGACTACACCACTCTGCAGGAGCCGAGGGCTGAGTTTGCTGGAAGCTGTCTTTCTTTTTTGTCGACGCCTGTGTTTTGTTTAAATACCGACCGCGGATGTGTGCGCGCGATGTAGCTTGGCGGGCTGGTTGTGGGTTTCCGTAGTAGTCAGCACTTGGACGGCTTGAACTTGCTTGGTCGCTTGCTTGCTTGATTGTTTGCTTGCTCGTTCGCCGGTTCGTGTTTTCTGTTGTTTGGTGTGGCTGGCTGCTTGATTTGATGTGGAGATCTTGAAGCACATTTCCTTCCAAAGCTAAGGCGATGAGTCATACTGCTTACATGGATGGCTCAAGGACAATACGGGGCAGTATTCGGAAAAGTAAAAAAAGAAGATTGTAAATCGATATTGCTTAATATTGTTTGATAAATGTGCTGTGTTTTTTATCCGGTTTCAATTTTTATTTATATCTTTAGATAGTAGAGGATTGATTCGATTTTTTAATGTCTTTAATAGTTGTTGGGAAGAAATAAATAAATATATATATATATATTTATATATATATAGTTGTAGATTTTTTGATAATGAATAAAGAGTTAAATTAAATAATATAAATATAAAATAAAGAGATGATTTAATATAGAATAAATAATTGAATAATATATTATTGAAAACTTAAAAAATGAAGAAATATATAGAGAAGTAATTATTGTATGTTATTTAAAGGTATAAACAATAAATAGGATTAATAAATATTAATTTAAAAATAATTAAAGTTTTGAATTTTGAGGAAATTTGCTAACTAAAAATGAAACTAGAATTAAAATTTAGTAGTAATTTATATTTGAAAATATAATTCTCCTATAAACCGGTGTTTGCATATAAGCATTAAAGCATATGTTATATAGACCGGAGATGCTCAAAGCATGTTGAAATGGCTTGGATGGTCGATTGAAATTTTGGAGACCTGGTTTGAAGGTTTTTCTTATGGATTTTGTGCTGCTGAACAATTCCAGAAGTCGAGGCATTATTGCTTTCTTGAAAGAGGTGTGACAAGCCACATCGTCGCAATGCTGCTGGCGCATAAGGCCGGCTGCTTTTGCGGAGAGCAATTTTAGTAGGGCGGCCGGTATGATTTGATGGGAGCAAATTTTGCGGAGTGCTGTTTAAATAAATAAGCCGATCCCTTGCTTCGAGATCATGAAGCTAGCGCTGGTAGACGTGGAGACTAACGCCAGGGTGGCCGCTTTATGCTCTTGGAGGACTCGGTTGCGCACAGCGCGAAGGCGCCTATGGACATCCTGTGGGAGCCGGGCAACTACCAGGATGACGGAATAAGGCGGATCAACATCTGCCTTGCAGTGGATGCAGGAGGTGGAGTAGGACGACAGGCCGTTTCCCCGGGCTTCCCGCACCGAGCTGCAGACCCAAATAGAAAGGTGAGCAGCAAAGACAAGCACGTCAAGTGCAAGATCCATTGGGATCATTGTCTCTTTTGGGAGCACGTCTCGCGCCCGGCAGAATTGGCCCGCCGCAGAGGGCGCGTGCGCATGGAGGTCTGCCAAGTTTAGTGGGGCGTGCTGTTCGAGGTGCGCCGCCTGCAGCTTGAGTGCCAGGAGCCGGCGCAGTGCCCGTTCCGCTAAGGGGATTTTGCGGCTCTTTAAAAAAAGAATGGCCTCTCTCTGCGCCACACAGCCTTCCTCTGTCTGCCATGTCTCCAGTTGTGGGGTTCCCGCTGTAGTGGTGGTTCCATCCGCTCCAGCGCGCGCGGGCACGTGGCTCCGCGCGGAGACGCCCGACACGATGTGGTCCCAGCGGCAGACGCCCATGTCCAGCATCGCGGCCAGCGAGATTTTCGGGTACAGGGGTCCACGTAGGGCAGCAGATTCAGGGGCGACTGCCTCGTGTCGCAGCAGCCCTCCACGAAGCCCAGGTCCGGCAGCTTGCCCGGCTCCACGGGCTCGACGCCGTCGGCGGAGCACAGGATGGGCAGCGGGAAGGGCGCGTTGGCCAGCCCGTTGCGGCAGCGCACCACGTCCACGCCGACGGGTGTTTGCGTGTGTGTGTGTGTAATTTTGTTCTCCTTTGTTTCCCCGGAAGTGCTGGGTTGGGGTGCTTCTGATGTAGTCAAGCTCTGCCCTGCAGATTCTTGTTTTTCATGTTTTGCATTCCTTTAGAAAGCGCGCCACGTGATTTGAGTGGGGTTTGGTTTGTGTTGAGTTGTAATCCAAATACGCTACAGTGTTGACTGACATTGTGTTTTGGCTCAAGTGAGCGGGGGGCAATAAAGATCCAGAGGCACCGAAACGATCCATTTGGTTCAAAACTGGGCGCTCCGCTGCGGCCAATCATATTTTCAGTTTTTCTTTGTTTGGTATTTTTTTGGTTCCCTAAGCGGGGAGGTGATGCTCAGGCAAGCAAGCTCTTGCCTGTTGACGCTTCTTTTGTTCGCTGTTTTCTTTTGAATGGACCCGCGCCTTGCTTGAAGCGCAAGTCCGAATGAAGCCAAGAGTATCAACTGGCTGATGGATGGATTGTTTGGTTGTTGGCTGGTTGGTAGGTTGGTGGGTTGGAAGGGGTAAGGTAAAGGCAGGCAGGTAGGCAGGTAGGTAGGTTGGTAGGTAGGTGGGCAGGTTAGCCGGTTTGATTGCTTGGTTGGTTTGGTTGGTTAGTTGGTTGGTTGCTTGCTTGGTTGGTTGGTTGGCTGGTTGGCTGGTCGGTTGATCGCTTGGCTGGTTGGGCGCGCAGGTGGATGATGAATTGTTTGGCTGATTGGTTGGTTTCATTGGTTGATGGATTGATTGGTTGGTTGGTTGGTTGGTTGGTTGATTGATTGGTTGATTGGTTGGTTGGTTGGTTGGTGGTTGATTAATTGATTGGTTGATTGGTTGATTGGTTGATTTGATTGGTTGATTGGTTGGTTGATTGGTTGATTGATTGGTTGATTGATTGGTTGGTTGGTTGATTGATTGAGTGATTGGTTTGATTTGATTTGGTTTGATTTGGTTTAATTTCATTCGATGTGACCTGACTATCCTGATACGGAAGCCGTTTGGGGCTGGGGAGGTGGCCCTTGAAACAATGGTGAATCCCCTTAGACGGGGCCAGCCCGTCCAGGCCCCCAGCCATAGCCCGTCCCACTCTTCGACTTGGTCGGATCAAGCGCCAAACATCAGAGAAGAAACGTTGCCAAGTGAACTTGGACATAGCCACAGCGCCCACTTTTCCCTTGCCAGTTTTAGGGCGAAGGCGCGGCCGCCCCGGTGTCATGGCCATGCGCGTCTCTCCGGCAGTCGTGGAAGGCAACTTTCCGGGGCGCCGGGCTAGGGTTGTCGCTTGCAACCAAACACAAAAAACAACTAAGTTTGAACAAGGTATCTATTGGACAGAAAGTTTTTTTGCGTTCCAGCGGCAGGTTGCACTTAGTTTTGGTCGTGGTTTGGAGGTTTCACAAGAAACGCAATTTCCAATCCCACAGCCACCAATCCACGCCCTGGATTAAGAGTGAGATCGTTTGGGAGGAGAGTTGCGCGGCGCAGGACCCATTGCCTTGTTCCATGTTGCAGGGGTCGCGCGCTCACTTGGTGAATTTGCAAAAGTCAACAACATGAGGGCAGTTGGAGGCTTGCTGCGATCTCGTTTGATGGGGGTATGTGGGCCGAGAGCCTTTGCCAGGGACGCGCGGCGGGGCGGGCGAGGAGGAGGAGGCAGGTCGCAAGGGACACCGTCTTTCGTGCGTTGCCAAAAGAAACCTTGAGAAACCTCTGTTTTGTAAAGTAAAGGGGCAATTTTGGCAAATGGATGAACCAAAAACATCAACAGCCCAGTTTTCTTGCTGGCTCATTCCAGACACACAGACACAGGCACACACTTTTGACTTTGATCGCAGCGCATCTCTTGCGGCAGCTAGCGTGAAAGACATCACAGACTTTCATGGAGTCATCATCGTTCGATGGTCTGAAGTGCCAAAACATGTGCCACTGCTTCCCAATGAGCGAGCAACTACTGAGTCTCACTAGACTTGCAAGTCGAGGTGTCAACTTGGAAAGTGTGAGAATCCGTACTTGAGGCGCATGAGACCACGGAGGAGCCGCCGACAAGCGCATGAAACCACGGAGGAGCCCCTGCCAGGAAGGGAAATTCCAGCCCGGCCGCGCTGAACATCTGCCGATGCCACCATGCAACGACCCACCGTGAACCTCCCCCTGAGTGCCGCCCCTGTCAGACAACGCCCAGGCTGTGGGCTAGCGCGCTCTAAGCTCACGGCAATCAAGAGAGAACTAGACGCGCAACCACCGCAGCAGCTCAGCTCGGCCTCTCCCCTCCCGTGCCAGCGTGACCCCACGCCGCTCACACGCGCTGAGCAATAACCAGGCACGCGTCGCCTGGTAACGATCAACGCCTCGCCTGAAGCTGCACGTGTAATGACCGGATTGCATGCTTCCCCCAGCATGGTAGATTTCAGCAATGACTTCAAAATCAAACAATTGAACCTGCAGGGAAAAGGCAACAAAGGCAGGCGACTGAAACCTAGCCGAAAATCTTTTACTGGGCCTGCGCGCAAGTGCCTTGATGTGAATGCAAACGAGGCTTGGCAGCTCAGTGAACAGCGCCGACTGCAAGTGCCATTCCTGCACGGGACGAGACAGCTGGCTGCGGCGGCTTCAATGTCCAACCCAAACTCAGCGGCGTCCTGCTGGGAACGTAGATTTGCCCAACCGTCTAGCAGCGAATGCCAACTGGGAAGGCAAACTTGCGCTCAATGATCCATTGTCGTATCCAGCCAGTTGCTTGAGTCGCAATGACAAATTCGGGGGTGGAGCATCACACCCCCCTGAATTTGAGCAACTTTTGCTCTTGGCCTTTGTTTCAATGGGTTCTGAGCTCTGGCTGGCCTTTCTGACCCCAAGGGTTACACGCATACACACGCACACGCACGCAGACACACAGACAGGCGCACGCAGACACACACGCACAGACACAGACACACACGCGCACACACAGACGCACACACACACACACACACAGAGACCTGCGCACAGACAAACACACACACATCGACACATGCGCAGGCACAGCCACACACACACAAACACAGACACACACATGCCAAGACACACAGACACACAGACACACAGACACACAGGCACACAGATACACAGACACGCAGACACACAGACACACAGACACACAGACACACAGACACACAGACACACAGACACACAGACACGCAGACACACAGACACACAGACACACAGACACACAGACACACAGACACACAGACACACAGACACACAGACACACAGACACACAGACACACAGACACC